GATTTTGATTACATGCTTGTAGAAATCTAAACCAATCTTGTATTCTTTGATTAGTACCTTGAATCCAAGCAATGTTATCTCTAATTCTTTTAATATGACCTGACATTGATTTTAAACCGGACTTTACTATTAAATTAATTATATGACATGCACAACGTTGGTGGAAAATATTATTATTACCGAATAAACTTAAATCATTTTGAAAAAGTTCTATTGCTTTAATATTCGCAGTTGCATTATCTAATGTTATGACCATTATTCTATCTCTTAAACTATATTCATCAATAATAGATAAAATTGTGTTATATATTAAATTGGCAGTATGTGATCCTATAACACATTTGAAACCTAAGATTCTCTTATCCAAATTGAAACCTTTATAATAATGTCCGGTTATAGCTAAATAATCCTTGTTGGCAACGGCGGACCAAATATACGCCGTTAACGCAACGCAACCACTAGTAGAATGTAGAAGGTTGATTAATGCTTCTTTTTCTTGTTTATATAATTTTAATGCATCTTTCCTAAGAGTAGTTCTAGAAAAAAATTGTGCATTAGGATTATGTACAATTTTAATATAACGTTGCCAATTTCTTTGTTCAGAAAAACTTAGTAGTTGATCTATTGTGGCTATTAATCGTGCCATTTCCATACGATCAACTTGTGGATCGTATTTCCACGTGCTTAGACCACCGGTTTGGCGGTCAAACGATAATTGCATTTGGCGGAGATCAGCTCCGCCTCCTTGCTTTTGAAGACACTTTTCAGAGTGCCTTCTTAAGTGTGTAGTGCCGTGAATAGTGTTACCTTGTAATTTCTCACCACAATATTTACATTGAGCTACGTATTTAATGTTACCGTTATTGTCGACGTCCTCGAATGTGTTGAAGTGCTCCCAAACTGCTGAGGTGCGCTTGCATTTCTTCTTAGAACTTGCAACACTTGCACTAGCACTACCGCTTGCCTCTCCTCCACGGCCACTTGTGCCACCACCATTGCATCCCCGACCTCTAGTATGTCCACCAGGGGTTAGATTTGCAGTTTCATCAGCAACTCTTTCCATAGTTTACGATTCCTGCGTTTGAAAAATATTAGGAAATTACCCTTCTTCGATGTTGAATTGGGCATCAATGGGAAAATCACCACCATAACCAGAAGAAGCCATTATGAAAAATAAGAGAGATTGAGAGCGCTTTGAGAGAGCTTAAGAGAATCGAGATTTGAGAGAGATTTAAGCGAGATTAAGAGAGATTTGAGAGAGATTAAGAGAAATTGAGAGAGATTAAGAAAAATTGAGAGAGAATGAGAGTTTTGGGGTGAGGAAAATGGTTGGGGGGGAGGGGGGTATTTATAGGAAAATTTTTGGGTTGAAAAAAAAAAATTTTCCCCCAAAAATTCGGGCCCAACGGCTACAAATTTTTTGGGCAGTTCGGGCAAAAATCGGGCAGCTTAGGCAACGATACAAAATCCGACCGTTTGGTTCAAAAATTCAGGTTCGGGCAAAAAGACCCGTTTGTTCAAAATTCGGGCATTGTTTCAGGCTAACGGAAACAAAAAAACAGGCATTTTTCGGGCAACGAGCAAAAATCGGGCAATGGTCACAGAAATTCGGGCAGTTCGGGCACAAATTCGGGCAGTTTTCGAGCAGCTTCAGGTATTGCCGGAAAATTCAAAAAAAATCTGGCGAACGGCAGGGGACGGCTTCTCCACGGCGGCGGGCTGTCGGGAGATTAATATTTTCGGGCTACCCGAGCCCGTGCCCAAAGAAAACCGTGGTCGGGCGGCGAGAGTGGCCTGCCCGAAGTGCCCGAAAATTTTCGGGCATCGAGCATGCCCGCCGCCCGAAAGTTCAGCACTTGTGAGAGTGTCTTGTTTTATTTTATTATTTTAAGGCTTTGTTCGCTCTGTGAATTTAAGTTTTTAATTTGAGTTAAAATATGATATTTTTTAAGAGTTTTTAACTGTAGCGGAAAAAATTAGATGTGATAATAGAGTTTTTAGGCTTTGTTTGCTTCGCAAATTCGAGTTTTCAATTTAAACTGAGATGTGACATTTTTTAAAAGCTTTTAACTGTAGCAGAAAAAGTTAAAAGTGACATTATCTGAAAACTTTTAATTATAAAAATTTAAAACTGAAAACTTTAAATAAGTGAAATGGACAAGAATTAAGGGCTTGTTCTTTTGGAGTTTAACTTGAGTATAATTCTTGAGTTGAATTTGAGTTATAACTTAAGTTAAACTTGTAACTTGAGTTTGTGTTTGGTTGTGTACATTTGAGTTATGATTTGAGATAAGAATCTTTTTGAGTTTGTGTTTGAGTGAGTCAAAACTTGAATTTGTATTTAGATAGTATTTTAATAAAAACTCAATGCTGATGAAAAATTTTAATAGGGTATATGGGTCGTTTTTATTCATCTTTTCATTGTCAACGCATAGAAAAAAAAATCATCTCAATCAGAATTAAAACGAAAAAGTTATAGCATTTTTAAGAATAGAAAAAATACTGTTCATTAATTTGAGTTTGAATTTCTGAACTCGAGTTGAAGGGGAAACTTGAACTCGAGTTTTAGTCCTAAACTTGAGTTTAAACTCGAGTTTAAACTTAAAAGAACATGAACTCAAATAAAGTTGTAACTCGAGTAGCTTTTTTTTTTAGTTTTTCACTCAAAAGAACAAGCCCTAAATCTTCTATTTTCAGTAGGCCAAACTAATAAAAACCACAATTGTTGCTTAAATGTGGATTAGGATAGAGTTACCACCTAGCTGACCTTCTAAAATTTCTTGCTTGTTACTTGAGGTGATACTATTATTTGTATTTATTTCTTTTTTGAGAATAATGAGACCTATGGTTGCATTGAAATAGACAAAGTTCTCAAAGTCCACAACATCATGATTGTCGCACCAGCCATATGCTAGGGGAAGAAAAGGAATGACAACACCCAGAGGAGTGGTGTCAAACTCATTATGTCAATCAACACACATGTTGTACATCATAAAGAAGTGTAGTAGAAGTAAACATATACGGTACAAGATACATTGCACATTATTTATTACATTGTAAAAGTGGAAAGTAGGAAAGATACTTATTAGGTTTTATCTTTACATCTTGATATAACTAACAATATAGTACAAACTACAAAGCAAAATTATAGCTCCATCTGAGATCACTATATAGCCGAGTTGAAAGACATATTAAACTAATAAAAATATTAGTTTTTTTCACAGTCCATTTGGTGAGAGTTCCTCCAACATAATATGTAAATATAAAAAACGTAACATGACAGTCGTTGAACCATTAATATTAGAGAGGTATAACATAATTTTTAGATAACTAAATTTCTTGATGTTACACCTCTCTAATATTAACGTTACATTTAATGACTGTTATGTTATACTTTTCATATCTATATGTTACACTAGAAGGATCTACCGGAGCGACCGTAGAAAAGCTCTAAAAATATTTTACTTTTACTCAAAGTAGTTTGAAGATTAGACCTCCGTGAGTGGCGAAGAAAGGAGCAAACACCAAGGACTCTACTGCCATGAGCTTAATGAGGATATTGAGTGAAGGACCAGAAGTGTCCTTAAGAGGATCACCAATTGTGTCACCAATAACAGCGGCCTTGTGGGCATCTGACCCTTTAGGACCAAGTGATTTTGCATGCTCAGAAACTCCTGCCTGTAAGTTATATCAAAGCCAGATTTAATATTTTCTCAAAATGTTGAAATTAAGCGTAAAATCATGGTGACAAGAACAAAATGTACATGAAAAAGAAAGTTTATTTTTATTTTTTTAATTTCTCTTTACCTCTATGTATTTCTTTGCATTATCCCATGCCCCACCAGTGTTTGAAGCTGAGATAGCAATCTGTAGTATGAATAATATACGAGCAAACAAAATTGTAAGCTAATCTTGGAAATTTTAAGGAAATGTTAAGAAGTTGAAGGGGGGTTTCTGAACGTCAGGTCATATTAGAAACGCATCAAAATTCAAATGATGTAAAGGAAAAAAAAAAAGAAGAGGAAAATTGTTAAACCCTGTCTAGCATGATCTTTTAGCATACCTGGACGCCAGAAACTAGTGAACCAGCCAGAATGCCGGCAAGAGTTGCGACTCCAAAGAAAGTTCCGGCAATGAGAGGCGTAAGCATAACCAATGCACCAGGTGGGATCATCTCCCTGAGTGAGGCATCAGTAGAAATCTTAACACAGCTTGCATAGTCTGGTCTGGCTCTACCTTCTAATAGCCCTGGAATGGAATTGAATTGCCGTCGAACTTCCTCAACCATCTTGAGAGATGCACTTCCCACACTCTTCATTGTCATGGCAGAAAACCAGTAGGGAAGCATGGCCCCAACAATCAAACCAATGAAGACTTTAGGGGTCAAGACATCTACAGCCTTTATGCCAGCTCTGCTCACATAGGCACCAAATAAAGCAAGAGAAACAAGTGCAGCTGATCCAATAGCAAATCCCTGGAAAAAAAATGGAAATTACAGTAAATGACAGCTTTCTGGAAAGAACTAAAACAAGGGTATGAAATTGATTGTAGTAAAATAGCAAGTTTTGTGCTTTATCTAAGAAAAAAAAATTTAGAAATTGCAGCAAATGACATTTATTAGAATATATGAGAGGTAACAACGACGTACAACAGTAAAACAGTTCTAGGGAGGAAATGAGTCTTGAGGCTATTTTGGGGATTTTGAATTTTTTGTGTAAAAGATGTTTATCAATTTCTATATCTAGAAATTTATGGTAATATCTTTTTTCCCCTCCCAAAATGTGTTAGTTCCCACATTCTCCCACACCAAAACAAGAAAAATCAAGTGTAGTACTAAAAATAAAAAATAAAAAGAAAAAAAACAATGCCTTTGGATAAGCAAAATTACAGAAGTTCACCTTGCCAATGGCAGCAGTGGTGTTTCCAGCAGCATCTAAAGCATCTGTTCTCTCGCGTACTTCGCGGCTCATTCCAGCCATTTCTGCGATTCCACCAGCATTGTCGCCTATAGGGCCATAAGCGTCGATTGCAAGACTGGTGGCAATGGTGCTAAGCATTCCTAAAGCAGCCACAGCAATTCCATACATTGCAGCCAAGCTAAAGCTCACATAAATGGCAACTGCAATGGCAAATATGGGGATGATGACGGATTTGTATCCGAGGGCCAAGCCGAAGATGACATTTGTCGAGGCACCAGTCCTGCAGGAGTCTGCCACATCTTGCACTGGACTGCAAAATAAACATTGTAACATTTATATTTTATGTGAAGAAAACAGCATCTCAAATACACAAGTATAACAAGAACAAGATTAGAAACCTGTAAGCATTGCTAGTATAATACTCTGTTATGTATCCAATTGCAAGTCCAGCCCATAATCCAATTGCAACACAAGAGAAAAGATGCCTGCATTTTCACATGCGATTTTCAGATAACAATGCTAAAGATTTTTTGGCAAGCCAAAGCAAGCAGGGGGAATTGCATACCAGTTCTTGACAATTTTGGCAGTTCCAAAGTCGAAAAGAGTGAATTCTGATGGCAAAGCAAAGTAGGTGACAATGGCAATCCCGGCTGTCATCAATATTGTTGAGATGAGAAGTTGCCGCTTCAAGGTCGATTCAATCTTGCTTATGCTCTTGATTTCGAAGAGATCGGTCGCGAAAAGAGTTGTTATCAAGCAAACCACAATCCCCATTGAGCTTATGATCAGAGGGTAGGACATGGCTGTGTAGTCATGGTGTGTGCCAAAGGATGAAATGGAGGCAACAAAGAGTGCTGCGCAGGATGCCTCAGCGTAGGATCCGAACAGGTCAGACCCCATCCCTGCAATGTCTCCTACATTGTCCCCCACATTGTCTGCTATAACCTGAAAAGAAAATGCAAGCAAGAAACATAAGATTCTCGTTTATGGGGTTTGAACCCGTGACCTCCTACTATAATACTATGTTAGTTTACCGATTCTTTCAAAACCTTTACACTATTAAGAGGTGGACCAACAATAGTTTATATTTTAATAATAACATTAGAGTGCCATTAAGAATCTAAAATTGCTACAAAGAGAGTCAAGAGAGAAAGTTACAGCTGGGTTTCGTGGATCATCTTCGGGGATATTTTTTTCAACTTTGCCAACAAGATCAGCACCAACATCAGCTGCTTTTGTGTATATCCCTCCACCAACTCTTCCAAAGAGCGCCATTGAAGAGCCTCCAAGTCCATACCCGGTAATCGATTCGTATAGTCCTTCCCAGTCATCACCATAGTACAACTTAAACAAATTGATGGAGACATAGAGTACTAAAAGTCCATTGGCAGCAAGGAGAAAACCCATCACAGCTCCTGACCTGAAAGCAGTAACGAAGGCCTTCCCAACACTCTTCCTTGCTTCAAGGGTCGTTCTAGCATTGGCATAAGTTGCGATTTTCATACCAAGAAAACCCGAAAGGACAGATGTTAAAGCACCAAGCAAGAAGGCAATGGTAGTGAAGATGGCATTGGCTAAGGCTGGTTTACAAGTGTTCCCAATGTTGTAAGTGCAGGGCTCACTTTTGGTACTGAAACCCTTAACCGAGCCAAGGAAGAGGAAGATAATCACTCCGAAAACTCCCATGAAGATACTGAGATATCTATACTCAGTGAACAGAAAAGAAGTTGCCCCTGAAAACATAATTCAATCAGAACTAGAGATTAGTAAGTAAATCATGGTTTAAGCACTGCAATAGTGAATCAACCATATGTAATTGGACAAGTGGTTTTGTGTTCATTAACAAGAGAATTGTCCACACTCCGGAGTAGAGCATAATGC